ACAGCTTAATAGAAAATTATGATCAGAAGTCATCTTATTTTGGCAAACTAAGTTGCAGAAATTATTTAAAGGAATCTTTTGATCATGAAAATACTAATTAATAATGAGTTAGCATTAGTGAAGGTTCCTCCTAATGGGAAAGAACAAAAAAATAGCGAAGCTGAAAAATGTATGACAATTTAAACGAGTCATAACATCTACTCAGTTTAAGTCAACCTTTCACTAATTTGTGCTACACCGCGTTGACTACAATATTTAAATATTATGTTTTTCACTAATTCGGTTTTAAGGTTTTGTGTGCAAAAGGCGTTATTAAATAGAGGTAAATGTGAGAATGGCACCGAGGAATCAGTCTCTCTGATCTGGGAGCGATGTATTTACACAGCTTTTAGCATCTGGAAATCCGTACCACCGGGTTGTTTGCAGACCCGTGTAGCACAACACTGGTAATCTCACAGTAATGTGGGGTGGGACCGTGAGCCCATCAGAATAATGTCTTATTCATACCTTTGTTGGCAATCTCAGCAAAGGTCGTGCATCTCATAGGGTTGGGTTTGTAGCTGCTTTCTGGAGCTTCCGGACCTGTAGCTGCGCTCGGATGGAGGGGTGCTGGCACGCGGCAGCTAACCAAAGCCCACCCGAGCTGCACCCTTCGCCGGAGTGTGTGTTCGGGATCGCGGTCTCCTCTGTTACCATCTCATACACCTGTTTTTTAAAAATGCATGTAGTTCATTTCTTGAACTAAATACAAGTGTTCATGTATTTAGTGCTTCCCTTCACCAAGTATTTACGGAAATACCCAAGAGCAGGGTCTGTTTCAAAATCTTTACTACTATTACATAGCGAGAAAGTATACTGTATTTGACACAAGGCTTCCTTTTGCTAACTTGGATTGTGAAAGAAGAGACGGGAAATTCTGTGATGCATCTCTTGAGCATTTGTCTGATCATGTTTACAACTGGTGTATCACACCGACCTAGTGTTCATCCTGGGTCAGAGTCTTTCCTTTAATGGCTTCTGTTCTGCTGGCCACGTTCCTGTTTGGCATTGTTGCCTATTTTAGAACATGAATTTCTTTTTAGAGACATGAACCATCTTTGGGCTCTTAGTTCTAAGTAGGGGCTGTTGTCAGTAAAAATGGATGCGAATGTAGTTGGTTCTGCAAAAGAGCATTTGTGTTTTGAAATGAAGCAGCATTGTGTGGTGTTCAAAACTCTTACAATCGCTTTCTACGAATATTTGTGCAATTGGGATTTACTGGCAAAATTGAGGCGAAAAGGAATTTTTAAGCATGAACATCAGACCACAGAGTACATCTTCAGCTAAAAAGAAAACAGCCGGTGGTATAAAGATACCATAACAATGCCTTTACATGTGCTGCAGCTGGCGTGTGGCCAGAAGCCTTGGGTGCCACCAAAGGCTTTATTAATCCATTGGAGCTATTGACAGGTGGTGCAGTTCGAGACATCCCTTAAGATTTGAAGCTCTGTGAACAAGTAACAAAGAGGAGTTTAGCTGCTTCGGTTTGCAGCAGATGTGACCTCTTGTGGGATGCCCTATGTCATTGGAAATGCAAAGATACACAAGTTATCTCGGACTGTTTGCTCATCGGCATACTAAATGCCTCTCTGAAGTATTCCAGAATCTGAGCTATAAAGGAATTTAAATTCAGAAAGGAAGATAATAAAATAACGGATGATAGAAAAAACTCTATATAGTATAGACTGTTCCAAAGACCATGAAAGACTTTATCAAATATCTTTTACAGCAGAATTAATTTGTGTTACCACAGGGAACAATTGTGATCTTCACATCTAGACAATAATGAAATCTGAAAATGCTTCTCCTCCTCCTCGTATCCACAGTGTTCTGATGCTGAAGTGTTATACCGTGCCCCAAATTGATGATCATTACTCTTCAGTTTATTATCCTGCTCGTTTCCCTGGTCATTCCAGTTCCTGTTTATTGTGTCTCTCTCTTTGCACTGATTCCTGCTCGGTCAAGTTGAGATACCAAGGGAAAGTCCTATGTAGATCACCTACTGGAGGACTAAGGAAATTTTTGTCCAACACTGACTCTGAACAAGTAAGACATGCTCCAGGTCGGTTTTCCTGCTTGCCTTTCCACCTAGTGCTGGAGATGAAATTTTGGCATAAAAGTCTCAAAAGATTTGAGTAATCTCAGTCTCTTTCTTTGTGTGAGTTTATATTTTTAATGTTATAGCTCTAGGGCAGCCAGTGGCAGGCTTGAATGTTTGACCTCTCTGAGTCTCAAAAATAAACTGTTACTTAGCCATTTAAAAAGGAAAGTTTGGGAGGAAAAAAAGGCAAATCCAAAATTCCAGTTACAAATACAATGAAACTCTGTTGATTCCAATTCTGCAAGTGCTTTTCAACTTACTGCCCTTTATAGCTGATAATTCTATTCACTGAAGCTAGCTACTACCCGGTAGTTGATTAATTAAGAATAGCCAAACACAGCATTGAGTTACATTCTTACCTTTTTGGCTTCCTGTCTCTGTCTTAGAGTAAAACCTTGTCCATGGGAGGCAAAACAGAGCTTTCAATCACAGCAGAGCTGTTTAGCTGCAATGGTAAAACAGCTGAAGGACAAGCTTGAAACGATAGCCCCAGCTCTAGGATTTGCTTTGAATTTACATTTACATTGAATTTACCATATTAGGCTTCAAAAGTGTGTTAAAAAGTTGTCTTAGATCTGAAAACAGGTGTAAGACTTTTAGAGTGAAAGTGCTAAACAAATTATTACTAGAGTCTTCGTAATTTTCCACATTGAACCAACTCATCAGCCTGAAATGAAGAAGGGTGCTATTGTTTGGCACAGCTGTGTCGAATTCGGTTTGTCCTCAGACCTTCCCCAGACCATGTAAAATAGCAGGAGGGCTACTGAGGTTAAGTTCCTGCTACTTACAAGTTTGAGTGAGAAAGAAGAGAGAGTACATTATTCTACTCCTGACAGAAATAAAAAAGAAATGTGGATTTTAAGACCTAATGGAAAAGGTTTAAATTTGTGGAGGGTCTTGAATACGGCTAAGGAATAAGCTTCCATCTTTCCATGACCTGCTGTCCATCAGCGCAGAAGAGCAAAGTTGTACTAGGTGCTGCCTTCTCTGGCACCTGTCTGTGTACTTTGTCTTTGCTATTTTGCAATTAATAATCTGACTACCTGCAAAATTTGAAATGCAACAAAGCAACAGTCTTCCAAGAGGCAATTGTCTGCATTCCGTTCTGTGTAAGTTTATTAAACTAAATGTAAACACGTCCATCAACTTTGGGGAATTATTTTCTGCAGCTAAATTGGTGTGTTTCCAGCAAATGCTGAGAATTTGAAGCTGGAGAATAAAAGATGTAAGCCTGTTTGTTAATGCAGTTTCACAGTGAAGGTGTTAGAATTAGCAGAGAAAGAAAAGGAGAGGGAAAATTGTGGAAAAGCTTCGTCTATCTCCTTATTGCCTCCTGAGATAGATTGTTCAGAGCTAAAGGAACAGTAGACATGAACCAAATCTCCTGCTGTCCTATATAGCTTTTACAATCTCCTTTTTAATAACCCAAACTGCAGGGTAGTCTGACTATTAGACAAGCCGTTCTTTTGAATTCTCTCTACAATGTGTATAGACATGATAAAAAACAATTCTCATTAAAGCTGCCAATGCTGTTTCAAAAGCAGGTGGTTTAAAATGTTTCCTATACAAAGCAAAACGCATTTCTTGTGCATTACACACTGCTTAATAGGGAGTGTAAGATTACACCGCTATGTTGTGTATAACACTGCATCTTAAATAATAGAATATTGTAAGTCGTGTTGGAAATATGTTTAACATGAATATGTAGGATATAATGATATGCACTGAGCAATTTTCAGAAGTGCTGGAACAGCCTTGTGCGACAACCTCTGAGCTAAAGTAGTTGAAAACAGAGTCTGGAATTTGAGATTATACCGTGTCTGATCCTAACTGATTATTTTTCTAGGATATTGTTCAGTCAGCGTTTGGGTATATGAAAGATAAGATTTCTACTGTCCTATAAGAATGTTTACTGTTTATGTTATAAATGAAGGATGGTAGGGATTGAGTGCATTCATCATGCATTTTCATTTTTCACTGAAGTCAGTGGTTTATAAGGAATGCAGGATTGGTCTGAAGTAAAAATTCAGATAAAAACCCCCCAGCTCCATCCCTACACTGCCTATTCATATCCTTTCCCAAATCTGTTTGGGAAAAAAAAAACCACTGAGGTCCAGTTATACTTCTGTGCAAATTCAGAGTTTGCTATTCACATCAGTGGGAACAGGTTTCAGTCTTCACTGATGTGAACCTTCCACTCTGTAGGTGTTTCTTACCAGCTATCAGAAACTTGGGGAATAAGAAAACCATGTAAAGTATGGTAATTCAGGTTACCATGAATACGCACAGTAATTCCTGTTATCCTTACAAATATATTCCAGTTGCCTCAATGTTTTAATCAGAAGTTGTATTTTAAAATGAACAAAAAAAGTTTGTATGTCTTACAATCTGCTATTAATGAAATAAAATGTACTTGAATCTTCAGTACGCCCGTCTATCTTAGTTTCACCATGTTCTGCTTTAAGAAATAATTGCTTTCATTTTGATAAATCAACTTGTGCAAACAAGGTGAAAATTGATTATGAGCTGATTAAGTTAAATAAAATATTGACATAAACACTTATGTAAGGTAGCCTGGCAGCAACCTGCTTATTCTTGAAAAGGTGGATTTTAAAAATGTATGTTCTGTGAGTCCCGTTTCTTCTGAAAAACCTCTATAAATTCAACAGGTGACACTATAGATAATCCAGTAATCAGCGTTTCACCCGCCATTTCATGGAACCATAAACTACTGCAATTTTACTTACATGACTCTAGCAACTATTAATGTATGTAAATAACTTGTGAAACATCTAGTTATCACTCTGCTCATATTAGCTCTTTCATACTAATGATTTATTTTCATTTTCTCCAGGATATAGACCTGCGGCTAACTGGATTTGATTTATAAGAGGGGATTCTGCAGTAAATGGCTGCTCTCTTCATATTGCTGCTATGGAAAACAGAATTGTCGATAGGATGTAGTCTGATAAATAGTGCTGAGTGAAGATGCAGCTTCAATAAGTGTGAAATCAATGGAAGATACTTACCGCATGAAAAGCCTTTTGAGATTTTTCTGACAGGCACCTATTTAGGAAACTTGATCCGTTTCCTTCGGTCGCCCTGTTTTTACACCAGTGGATACAAATCAGATTGCTTCATTGCAGTCGCACAACTAATGTGGGACCATGGCCTTTCCAAGATCCGTGTGGCTGAACTGTGTATGGAGAGCGATGATAGTCCGCCTGTTACACATGGGATTGAATGCCACTTTTGCTTTTTGTATACTTGGATTTTTGCTTCACGCTGCAGCTGTGTCCTCCCAAAAATTGGATGATACCAACCCAGTGGTGACCACCAACTTTGGCAAGATAAGAGGGATTAAGAAGGAACTTAATAATGAAATTTTGGGGCCCGTTATTCAGTTTCTTGGGGTTCCGTATGCTGCCCCTCCAACAGGGGAGCGCCGCTTTCAACCTCCTGAGCCTCCGTCTCCCTGGGCAGATATCAAAAATACCACTCAGTTTGCTCCAGTGTGCCCCCAGAACATTATAGAAGGCAGGTTGCCTGAAGTCATGCTTCCCGTGTGGTTTACTAATAACTTGGATGTAGTTTCCACCTATGTACAAGATCAGAATGAAGACTGCCTCTATTTAAATATCTATGTCCCAACCGAGGATGGTGAGTTAATAGCAGGCGAAACAGGGAGATCTTTTTATTTTCCTGTTCTACGTTCTAACAATATTAATTCACGTGTACTGGTAGCATGCATGGCTTGCTTTGTTTGCATGCCAGCATATTACATGTATGCATGCTGCTTTTCTGTGTATGCATCTGTCCTTGGTTTTTGGGTTTTTTTGTTTGTTTGTTTGTTTGTTTTCTTTCTGTCTACGCTCATTTTTTTTCTCCCACAGCACGTGTATTTTTAGGTCAAAATTGGTACTTAATTCTCATTGCCACCCACTGACTTCTGGGAAGATGCTTCAACATCTTATCCATTGCATGTGCAGGCACAACAAGTTGAGAATCTTCCGCACCTAATAAAGCAGGTCGTATTTGAGTTAGATAGTGGTGTTGCATGCTCCTACTGTCTGTGACGGAGCTCCATGTTATTTTCTAGTCTTCTATTCATTTTTCAGTCAAAAGAATATCCAAGGAATGTGCCAGAAAACCCGGCAAGAAAATTTGTAGAAAAGGAGGTATGTATAAAGTGGACCAAAAAAAAAAAAAAATGGGGGAAAGAGCGAAACCTTGCAAAGGAAGAACGAATAATACAGCTGAAAGAGGCTGATTTGCTGATGCTGTGAAGTGAACTGCTAGGGACCGTCGTGTCCTAACGAAGCCAGAAAGGCATTTAAAGAGAGGACTGTGTAAAGCAGATGAGAAGATAACATTTGTAAAGCCTGAACTCGGTTGCACCTGATCATCTCTCTTGCACTATCTCCAGCTGACCTTGCTGGCAGCTTCTCTGTCTCGCCCCGTGGTTTAGAGGAGTGTCTGTCGCTCGTGCGTAGCCGCAGTGTGTTGTACGTGCATGCATAGGAGGTAGCGAGGAGCATGGCTCCAGGGCTCTCTATTCCAGTGGAGTAGCAGAGTGGCGATGGTGGAGCGTAGCAAAGCAGAGCTGGAAATCCGCATTGACCTTCTATGTGATACAACCCCATGTTCTCGGAACAGCGGTAACTTTCCTGAAATCTAGATGTGAAACGCTTTTTTCCATTTACACACCGCTAAAAGTGAGCATTGATTTCCTTTATTATGTGATTACAGAGCTCTCTGTAAAGCTGAAAATCTCTTAATAGAGGTGTAGG